TCTGTTTACCTGCCCTGCCCAGTGTTCCCTCTCAACTGAGCTAGTGTGAGCTAGCCCCCAGTTTTTTAGCCTCCGGCTCACACGTTTTCATGTTAGTTCAGGAAGGATGGGGCTCCAGAGCAGACTGATTTAGGCAGCAGCCAAATCGCTCGCTCGCAACTTTAATGCCGGTAGCTCACAAAGTAGGATTTTTCTGCTTACCAGATTCCACAGCTTAGAGGGAGCGTTGGCCCTGGTTAGAGAGCCAGTTTGGTGTAGTGGTTAAGTGCACAGACGCTAATCTGGGAGAACCGGGTTTGATTCCCCCACTCCTCCACTCGCACCTGGCTGGATGACCCTGGGCAAGCCGTAGCTCTGATAAGAACTGTTCTTGAAAAAGAGCAGTTTCTGTCAAGAGCTCTCTCAGCCCCACCTACCTCACTGGGTATCTGTTTTGGGGAGGGGAGGGGAAAGGAGTTTGCAAGCCACTCTGAGACACCTTTGGGTAGTGAAGGGCGGGGTATAAATCCAATCTCCTCCTCCTCTTCATCTTCTTCTTCTTCTCCTCCTCCTCCTCCTCAATTGGCTCTGCAGAGGCAGGCGATGGCAAACCATCTCCGAATAATGTCTCTCGCCTTGAAAGCATCACGGGATCAGCATAAGTCATTTGGGACCCAACAGTGCTTTCCTACCGCTTTCCTACCGCTTTCCTACAATTGTTCCGTCTGCTTATTAAGGAAATAATCAGTTTATAAGCAGTCTTTTTATTGTAGCCTTTCTCGTTTCCTGCAGTGCCACTCAGTTATGTGATTGGCCAAAGCAACCCCCCCCCTCCCAAATAAGGACTAGCCACTTGCAGTGTTTTAATTCTTATTAGAACCCGTACTCCACTCAGGGGCGGAAGTTCTTTGCACGCTAAGCATTGTGCTCAGAGCAGCCATATATGCTCCCAAGGATCTCTCAGTGGCTACCCAGCACTCTGCTTGTAGAGGGTGAACCTTTGGAAACCTGTGGTTCAAACGAGTCGTTAACTTGACAAGCTACTCTTTTAATCTCTCAGTCTTGCAGCCGCAGTATGGAGATATTGACAGTCTCGGGGTGGGGTGGGTGCTGTTTTGTAAGGACTGCAAATAATGTTGCGAATCCCCCGTTGGGGGCAGGAGGTCCCCTGGTGTGGAGGCCCTCCCCCTGCTTCAGAGTTATCAGAATGTGGTGGGGAATGCCTCCTGGGCGCGCCATTATACCCTATGGAGACTGGTCCATGGGTATCTGGGGCTCTGGGGTGGGTTGTTTTTCGAGGTAGAAGCACCAGATTTTCAGCATAGCATCTGGTCTCTGGTGCCTCTCCTAAAAAACAAACAAGCCCAAGTTTCGAAATGATTGGACCAGGGGGTCCAATTCTATGAGCCCCAAAAGAAGGCGCTCCTGTCCTCCATTATTTCCAGTGGTGGGAAGGCATTTAAAAGCCTTACCTGGCAACCCTAATTTGCAAAGATCAAGTGTGTGAAGCACGCCGGCAATTGTCAGTGAGCTGGTGATTAAATCTTCCCCAGCCCTGGCTGAGATTTTAATGTGCAGTTAAAGAGAGAATGCGATTGAGTCTTTCCCACGTCCCCTCCGATCGGGGGCACCTTGAGATTTCTGCCGCAGTGTGGTGGGTGCCGCCACAAAATGGCTGTCGCAGGAGGCCAAACCCACCGTGCAAGGACTGCCACAGCTGACCCTCGGTCTAGAGATGTAAAATTTCTGGAAATTTTGAAGCTCGGAAAAATTGAAAAAAAATGCTACATTAGCATTTCTTTTGTCCTTTCTAGATTGAAAGTCATTCTGTTACTTTAGGAACATAAAATATGACTATGGACATTTTTACTTGGCATGAAATTATCACAACTAGCATATTAAAAATATAGTGTATCCAAACAATTATTACAAACAGAATACCCACCCACAGGCAAAAACAAAACTGAAACCTTTTTATTTTCTTCTGACAATCGCACCTCCTAAAGGAAGAAATGCATTTTGTTCTTGCATTGGAGAGTTCAGTTTGTAACCTAGGACTTGCTTGTCCTCAGTGCACAGAAATTAGATCAATCTGATATTTTATTCATCATGTTAAAATAAAACGTTCCATAGTCAATTTATTTTATTTTATTTTTTCAATTTTTCCAATTTTTTGGAAAATAACAAAAAAGGCTTCAGGAAAAAAACTGTTTTTCCCCCGAATTTTTCCGTTTTTTTTCCTGGCCTTCACATCTCTACTTCGGTCACACAGTGCAGGTCCTTCTGCTGCGGTGGCAGCTGCTGTCAAAGCAACGGTTTTCAAAATCTGTGCCGCCAGTCAGATCCCCCATGGCCAACCAGAAGCCTTGCTGGATAAAAGCCACACCCACTTTTTAAAAACACTTGGTGGGGGGCGAGAAAGGTGTTGGGTGCCCTCATGCCCATGGGCTCCACCCATTGGGGATCCCTGCCTTAGATGCGTGTTTCTTCGGACCGTCCAGCTCTGCGCTGTCTCCACAGGCCAGCAGCCGTTCTCCCTGTTTGGGGCTGGGGTCTGTCCCAGTTCTTTTTGAAGGAGCTAGAGCCCAGACCCTGCCACTGAGCTGTCTCCCTGGTCTTCCCTCGGGCAGGGGAAATACGACGAGGAGATCGAGGTGTTCAAGCACCACCTGGAGCAAACCTACAAGCTCTGCCGGCCCTGCCAGGCGGCTGTGGAGTACTACATCAAGTACCAGAACCGGCAGCTGCGGGCCCTGCTTCTCCGCCACCACTTCAGCCAGCGGAAGACGGACCAGTCCTACATGCAGGTGGGGAAATTGGCGCTCGCGGCACCCGCGGCTTCCTTGGTGGAAATGACACTTGGGGCGCCCGCGGCTTCCTTGCCGGAACCCTGGAGGAGCAATTGTTAGTGAGAACAGCCGTAGGGGAAGGGGAATCTTCCCGGAAGGGAGAGGGAGAACGTACGGGGATCTGTACGGCTCACAGGAAGCGGAAGCTGGAGGGTATGGAAGGATGCCAGGCCGAGGCCTCAGTGATAGCAGTTAGAAGCACTTCTAAATTAGTTATTTATCTTTATCGCCCTGACCTGGATGGCCCAGGCTAGCCTGATCCCGGAAGCTAAGCAGGGTCGGCCCTGGCTAGTTTTTGGATGGGCGATCTCCAAGGAATACCAGGCTCATGATGCAGAGGCAGGCAATGGCAAACCACCTCTGAAACGTCTCTTGCCTTAAAAAAACAAGTCTAGTTCACAACTTAGTGGTGCATAATGGTAAAAGAGCTAGAACTTCTGGCTGCCGGACAATCCTAGGATCTCCTGGCTATTCTACACACACTGCCAGACGATAATTAGTCTAATTTATTTCTTTGTTTTTGTTTATTTATTTCATTTACACCTTGCCCTTTCTCCCCAGTGGGGACCCAAAGCACCTTATATCATTCTCCCCTTCTTTGTTTGGTCCTCACAACAACCCTGTGAGGTTAAGCTGAGAGCACGTGACTGGCCCAAGGTCACCCAGTGAGTTTTTGTGGTAGAGCGAGGATTCAAGCCATGTTTCTCCCAGATCCTAGTCCAACACTTCAACCCCTGCACCACACTGGTTCTTAACATTAGCAATATAATATTAATGTATAATGATAGATAGTATTCATATTAATTGTATTAATAATAATACATCAAGATGGGTAGCCGTGTTAGTTTGTCTGTAGCAGTGGAAAAGAGCATGAGTCCAGGAGTGCCTTAAAGACTAACAATATTTGTGGCAGGGTAGGAGCTTTTGTGAGTCACTGCTCACTTCTTCAGATAACAGCTAGAATGTGAGTCCATCTGTCCTATGTATTGGAAAGTGGAGTGATTTCAGATGCCGAATGACATTAGCAGGCAAATTACAACAGAAGATGTGATTGGATGAGGTGTGATATGCAGAGCAGTAGTAGGCTTGGAGAAATCAGCATTGGTAAAGAGATGGGAAACCTAGGTCTTGATTTAGTCCAGGTGGATGCATTGTCTTGAGCTTCGTTATCAGTTGCAATTCAGCAGTCTTTCTTTCTGATCTGCCTTTGAAATCCCTTTGTAAGATAACTGCTACTTTTAGGTCAGCAACTGAATGCCCTGGAAGATTAAAATGTTCCCCCACTGGTTTTTGAATGTTGTGGTTTCTGATGTCAGACTTAAGGTACATTAATTCTTTGTCGAAGGGACTGGCCTGTTTGTCCATTGTAAAGGGTGGAAAGGCATTGCTTACGTTTCCTGTCTCATTACCAATGCTGATTTCTCCATGCCTACTACCTCCTTGCATACCACACCTCATCCAATCACACCTGCTATTGTCATTTGCCTGCCAATGTCACTCGGCATCTGAAATCACTCCACTTTCCAATATATAGGACAGATGAACTCACATTCTAGATGTATCTGAAGAAGTGAGCAGTGACTCACGAAAACTCATACCCTACCTCAAATTTTGTTAGTCTGTGAGTTGCTACTGAACTCTTGCTCGAGTCTTTTCTATTAATGTTAATATTAACGTTGTACTGGCAATTCCCTTGATGAAGGCTGTGCTCTGTAATGGGCAGTTTTTTCCCTACCAGCTCTGGGGGGGAGAGGGACCCAGGAAATGGTGGTCTTAAGAGTCCCCATATCATCTCTACCAATTGCTCTTGGAGTTTGAAAGTCTGGAGAGGTGGATAATAGCTGCCTTTTTTAACAACCTCCCCCCCCTCCCCCCAATCCACCTTCAACAACCTTTGGACCCCATTTTTAAAAAATCAAAACACAATGCCTGCCCCCGCCTCTTACCCAAAAGCTTCCGCAATGAAAAGCAACAGTTTAAAAACCGCTTGGTAAAGGGATCAGTGCGAATAAGGGCCACGGAAGGCAGTCTGGTCTTTTAAAAAATGACCTGCAGAGGTAAACCCATCCACCGGCAAAGCGGGATGGAGAAACCCGGAGGACCAAAACTCTCACCCTCCTGCCTAAAACTATACATAAACTGGACACCAGGCGAGCAGCCGGTGGTGGAGGATCATGCGCGGTTGAGGGGCCTCCACTGACGAGGCCCTGCCCCTGTTCGTTGCCTGCCTCCCCTCTGCAGGAGAAGGCTCCCGGGGAAGGATTTCTGCTCAAGGTGTTACTTTTGGGGCAAGATCAGCTGGGAGTGCCCCCTTCTATCTATGTAGATGCAGGACTTCTCCCCTGTGGGGTGCGCTTGGGGCTGACAGCCTTTCTCTCCCACAGAGTTTCTACGCCGCCGCCTCCATGACCATGCCGGTCCACGTGCTGGCGCTTCGCTTCCTGGCCTTCCTCAGCTGTGCCATCCTCATCGCCATGGCCCTGTACGGATCGGGCAACCCCTTCTCCCCGGAGCCCGCCAGCCCTCCTCCAACGCCGTTGGCAAGGAACGGGACTGAACCAGCGGCCCCCGGCAATGCCACTCTGCTGGAACTCCTGGGCTGGCGAGAGGTGACCCGCCTGTTGCCGGAGCAGCTGCTTGGGGGGCTGAGCACCGCCTGGAGCTACGGGAAGAACCACCAGGTGGCAGTGGTGGCCCTGGGGCTGCTGATGTGCCTCTCGGCTATGCTGTTCGCTGGACGCATCAGGTACGTGGCCGAGGGCGGGGAGGAGTGTCACTGAACTGGGCCATTTGCTGGTTTTGTCTTGAAAAACAAAATTGGTTTGCTGTTCTTCGAGCATCACAGCTGTGGTGGCCTCTGTTTGGTGAATTAATTTATTATTATTATTATTATTATTATTATTATTATTATTATTATTATTAAAATTTTATTTTTGTTATTTTTGTTGTTGTTGTTAATTGCTGTTGTTATTACTATTATTATACACCAGTTTGACGGAGTGGTTAAGTGCGCGGACTCTAACCTGGGAGAACCGGGTTTGATTCCCCACTCCTCCACTTGCAGCTGCTGGGTGACCTTGGGTCAGTCACAGGTTCTGTCAGAGCTGTTCCCTCAAGGGCAGTTCTCAGACATTTCAGGAGTATAAGTTTTCGAGAAACAAAGCTCCCCCTGAAAACTTGTATCCCCGGCCCTGACCCGGATAGTCTAGACAAGCCCGATCCCGTCAGATCTCGGAAGCTAAGCAGGGCCGACCCTGGCAAGTATTTGGATGGGAGACCTCCAAGGAATACCAGGGCCGGGAGGCAGAGGCAGGCTGTCATCTCCTGCCCTAGCAGGAGTTGACAGAGGTCACCATGACTTCCAGGCACACACACAAATATGCAAAGATACTCAAAAAAAAAAGAAGAAGAAGAAGAAAGAAAACTTGTACCCCCAAAATCTTGTCAATTTCTAAGGTGCCACTGGACCCAAATTCAGCTCTTGCAGGCCAAGTGACTTCTAGGCTGTAGGAGCCAGTTCCTACGCTTACTGCATCCAACCCCTTTCCCATCTCCTTCCAGGTTGCGGCGCATCGATGCCTTCGCCTCCGTCCTGTGGCTGCTGGTGATGGGCTTCCATCTGGTGGAGAAGTACCTGCAGGCGGACACCCCCAGCTGGCTGGACACGGCGAAGTTCAGCACGACCTCCCTGTGCTGCCTCGTGGGATTCGCGGCAGCCGTGGCCACCCAGAAGTCAACGGGCCAGCGGAGACCCCGATCCCGAAGGTCAGAGCTGTGACAGTGACTGTGGGTGGGTGGGTGGGGAGGCCCCACCACCGCTGGCCAGAAGCCGAGGGTCCCTCGGTCCCAGTTCTCCCTGCTGCTCCGTCCCACCCAAACACTAAAGCTGCGTCTGCTCCCTACGGACTACAACTCCAGGAAAACGTGTCCTCTTTTTTGGCTACTTGTGGGCAGTGTTCCCTCTAAGCTGAGTTAAGTGTGAGCTAGCTCACAGTTTTTTAGTCCTCCAGCTCACAGATTTTTGTCTCCGCTCAGGAAGGATGGGGGCTCCAGAGCAAACTAATTTATGAAACGCCAAATCGCTCGCTCACCACTTTAATGCCAGTCGCTCACAAAGTGGGATTTTTGCTCACCAGACTCCACAGCTTAGAGGGAGCATTGTGAGGGCCGCTCTCCACCGTCCTACCTGCTTCTGCTCTCCGTGCGTGTCTGTCTCTCACCAGCTTGTCCTGTAGGAAATCCCCTTCCTCCTGAGCCGCCGAGCCTCTCCTAGAGCGCCGCGAGACTCTACGCCGGCTAGGGACCGTTTATACGCCGGTTGCTGCTTTCTTCGAAGAACCCCAGAAATTGTGTGCATGTTTCTATTTCGTTGCAGGGCTTAGGATTCACAGTCTGAGATCCGTAGCCCCTTCCCGGAACCACCGTTCCCAGGATTCCATGGCTGGCTGGGAAGCCCGGTGGCTAAAACTGGATTGGAAACTGGTTTAAATTCATGGTACCGGGCATACACCCTAGAACGCCTCTTCCTCTCCCCTTGAGTGCCTGTCACTTTTGCACGAAATGCAAGCCCGTTTTCTGTAGGATGACCCGGTTTTATAGCAACGCTACACAGTCAGTTCTGCTGGACATGGGAGCTGTAGCCCAAGTCACCTTCTTCTAATTAACAGCATGTTGCTGCCTGCGTTTCAGTGTAGTAGACGGGGGTGCATTTGTGGGACTTAATACACTAAATCTTTGATTTTGACCGCCGTCGCCGCTTGTATATTTGCAAGGTATGTATTTGGAGTGCCGTGTTTCTAACTTTTAACTCCCCCCCCCCCCCCCAAATTATTAAACTTTGTCTTAAGGGAGGTGGAAATAGAACACGCGGGTTTGTGTAATGAAAGGTTTGGGATTGAAACCTTCCCCTTTGCCCATGGAACAAATAAGGCTGTCCGTGGCGTAGCAGTTGCCATGATGGGGTCCTCCGTGGCTCAGGCGAACGTAATTCGGCCCTTTCTTCAGGTTCTAAAATGACAGCCCCTTACTGTTCTCCCATGGTTAAAAGGATGCATATAACTACCCTGCGCAGGATCAGGTCATCTGCAGCCGTTTGCAAAGGCGTGCAAAACCAATTTCTGCAGGAAACCCTAGTTTGGGGAACTGCTGCCTCCTTAGATTCTGTTGCCTACCAAAGATGAGTGAATCAAGGTCCTGATGATTTTTTAAAGACGGTGGATTGTGGGGCATCAGCAGATCCTGAGTCATTGCAAACTGCAGTTTTGCTTTCTAGCAAAATCCCAAACTGCCCTCCCCGAGTGCGGTTTCTGAAATCTCTCTTCTTTCTGACTTTTTTTGGGGGAAATCTTTTTAGTGTCCAAACGGCAAGATGCTTGGGTAGGTTTCCTTTGCCGTATAGATAAGAAGGGTTCCCATTGGCTTTTGCTCTGTGCCCGGTCTGGGTTCGCCTGATTCGCCTGTATCCAGGCAGACGTTTTGCAACACAGTCAATAAATTAAAGAAATGGTTTCACTGGCCTCTTGCTTTTGCGTGGGGCTCCCAGGTGTCTCCCATCCCGTGTTCCCTCTAAGCTTGAGTCAGTGTGAGCTAGCTCACAGATTTTTAGCCTCCGGCTGACACATTTTTGTCTCAGCTCAGGAAGGATATGGCTCCAGAGCAAACTAATTTATGCAGCAGCCCGATCGCTCGCTCACAACTTTAACGCCAGTGGGTCACGAAGTAGAATTTTTGCTCACAAGACTCCCCAGCTTAGAGGGAGCAACGCTCCCATCCTGGGGACGGAGTCAGCCTGTACCGCCTTGTCCTTTAGCCATGACGTCTCACACACAGCTTAGTGAGCTTCTTTAACATGAGGCCTGGTGAGGTTCAATGCAGTCTTACAAATGACCTGGAGGCGAATCCTATTTTCCTCCTGTGGTGTTCTTTCGGTGTGATGCAGGCATTATATATTAGTTCTGCTACAGGCACCATAGCTCTTGCCCTGATCCTTTAAGACATCCAGGGGCCGGGGGGGGGGGGGGTGGTCACGAAAAAGAAGAACCCTAGCACTCTGTCTGAGGTGTCAGTGAATATGGGCCCCCTCCCACATATGCCTCGCTGTCCGCCAGAACTTGCTGTTCTGTTGGACTTCCCCAGGGTGGCTTACTTTGTTGCTTTGGTTTTGCCGGACGAACTCGGGTTCTGCTGGGTCCGCTGCCTGCTCAAGACAAGTCTTCCTTCCCTCATCCCCCTCTCCGACTTATTTATCCCCAGGGAACGCTTTCCCCGTTAGCTTGCTTGCTTCATGGCCTGCAGCCTGATGCAAAGGATTTTGGGATTTATTTTAAGACATCGGGGGGGGGGGTGTTTTTAAAGTTTCTACCTCAGAGGAATCTTTTTTTCCTTTGAATCGCCCCGTGGGGAATTTGTATATTGTGAGGGATCATAAAATAGGTTCTAGAACACACTCTTTTCCTGTGGCATGAGTTGATCCCGACAGATCTCACTGTTTACAGTGGTTACAGCCCTGGGGTGGCCATCTTGGAACAGGTTCATCTGCTCTCCGGTGGCCATGTTGGATTTACTTCAGGTGGGCCCAGCATCCAGCATCCTTTTCCAGCTGTACCAACAGCTTGATGGGGTGGTCCCGAGCAGCATCTCTGGGGAGCCTTGGAACTAGAGATAGGCTGAGAGTATCTCATAAATCTGTCAGTGGCTACTAGCCACGGTGACTGAGGGGGAACGATACATTCAGAGGCACTAGGCCTCAGAATCCCAGAGCCAGGAGGCAACATGAGGGGAAGGCCTCGGCCTCTATGCCCTGCTGTTGGCCGTCCAGAGGAACTGGTCAGCCTTTGTGTGAGACAGGATGCTGGCCTAGATGGACCACTGGCCCGATCCAGCAGGGCTGTTCTTCTATTCTTAACCTCTACATTCAGAGGCAGCCAGCCTCTGAATCCCAGAGCCAGGAGGCGACATCAGGGGAAGGCCTCGGCCTCTCTGCCCTGTTGTTGGCCCTCCAGAGGAATTGGCTGGCCACGGTGTGAGACAGGATGCTGGGCTAGATGGACCCTCAGTGGGCTGATCCAGCAGGGCTCTTCTCATGTTCTTATCAGGGGAAGGCCTCGGCCTCTCTGCCCTGTTGTTGGCCCTCCAGAGGAATTGGCTGGCCACGGTGTGAGACAGGATGCTGGGCTAGATGGACCCTCAGTGGGCTGATCCAGCAGGGCTCTTCTCATGTTCTTATCAGGGGAAGGCCTCGGCCTCTCTGCCCTGTTGTTGGCCCTCCAGAGGAACTGGTCGGCCACTGTGTGAGAAAGGATGCTGGACTAGATGGACCACTGGTCTGATCCAGCAGGACCCTTCTTATGTTCTCATGATAACTGAGTAAGGTGCTTCTTAAGCACTGAATATCCCATTTGGGGCTGCGGTCGCACACATTAAACAATCCACTTTTAGTGCACTTTCGAATTGGATTTTGCCAGTTCACACAGTAAAAATCCAGTTGGAAAGTACATTGAAAGTGGGATGAAAATGGATTATTTAGTGTGCGTGACCACAGCCTGGGTTTCACAATATGTGTCCAGGAGCAGTTGGATGTTGCCTAGGGCCTGGAAAATCGGATGTTTCAGCTGGGGTTTTTTTAAACCCAAAAGGTTTGATTCTTGGACTATGAAGTAGACTTCCAGAATAAAACCCAGTTCCGTCAGCGCAGGCAAGTTTTGATAACACCGGGAAACTTCAGAGTGTGTATAATATGGGAACAAGGTTTGAGTCCGGGAGCATTTGACACCCGGTTCTTGGACATTCTTGCTGGTATCTCCTTTCGCAGAAGCAAGGGGGGGTCCCTTTGCGGTTAGGGAGCTGATCCAGCGCGAGTTCTTCCCGTTGACTTTGGGGTAGCGGGAGAAACCACAGGCAAACACTGCGGCCACATCTCCCTTCATTTGCCTGGAAGCCTGAGGTCAGACTAAGAGCGTCTGCTTTGCATGCGGAAGGTCCTGGGTTCAGTCCCCAGCATCTCCAGATAAAAAGGTCTCTGGTACAGGAGGAAGACCCCGAAGAGCCGCTGCCAATCAGAGGAGATGATACTGAGCTGCGTGGGCCAGCATTTTTAACTCAGTATAAAGGTAGCTTCTGAACTTCACATTGGCACATGATGCGCCTCCTTCTTGCCCCCCAGAGCTTCTGTGTTACCTGAGCAGTGTGGGAAGGGTCCAGGTTGTTACTGGCCCAGACTGTAGATGTGAGAAGATGCAGGAAGGGCAGAGAGCGTAGCGTTCCTGGAAATACCCGTTGCTTTTTCATCCAGCAGTGATGGGAAATGAAGGTGAGAGGAAGGAATGTATTCCTCTGTCCTTGGCTTCTCTAATTTGCTCTGTGTGTGTTTTTTAAAAAGCTATCTTTGCATATAAGTGTGTGTGTGTGTGTGTGTTCTACTCACCCTGGAGTTAACAAATAACTTTTCCCTTGACTCCCTATTTAATACTTTCCTGTGTGTGTTTGTGTGTGGACACAATCCTCATTGGAAGAGGTTTAGCGCTTCCCCCACTTTCGTTTTTTTTAAGATAATACTTCAAATATATTTCTCGTAGCTTACTTTTTTAAGAAAAAGAAGAAAAAAACTTTTGCAGTGGTAATGAAGGTCAATCAAGACGTCTGTTTACACATGAGTTGTAGCATAAGTAGAATTATTTATTCTCTAATGTGATTATATTCCGTACGTATTTATCTGAAGACGATAACTCCGGTTTCTTTGGTGAACAAAGAGGGGAGGGTAAGTTCTT